CCAGAGAACAGCCGCCACAGGTCAAAGTACGGTCCGTCGCTGTGCCCGTCGATGATGACGATCTGCGTATTCGCGACGTCCTGCATGGTGACGAAGAAGGGGTTACCCGTGACCGGGTCGCGCGTCGTGCGCAGCGCGTCAAAAGTCTGCGTCATGGACAGGATCTCGTGCAGGCAGTGGAAGATGTTGCCCGAGCCTTCGCGCTTAAGAAGGTACGTGAATGTGCGCGGGGTCCAATCGGACGCGGCGAGGGCGGCCTTCTCAAGGGCCTTGGACTCCGGGGACAGTAGGAGACGCAAGGTTGAGTCTGAGGAATCTTGTGATGGTCCCGGTGCTGGTGAGCGACGTTTCTCATGGTGGCTGCTGCTGCTGTTGCGGCGGTCGTTGTCTTCGTTCTCTACCACGGCTCGCTCAGTTGGTCGCCCTGGTAAGTCTGGTTCACGGTCGTATTGTGGTTGCTGCCCTGGGGAGGCTGGTGACGACAACGACGAAGACCCCAAGGCTGGCTTTGCCACGCCACCACCGCCTATGACCACAGGTCCCTTGATCGGGGCGTGCCTGACCATCCCGGCCGTGTCCTGCAGCGTGATCCACCGCCAGAAGATCGGCCCCGGGCCCGTCTCGTACCAGTACTGATGGAAGGTCCAGGGGGACGCGGGGACTCCAGGGGGAACGTGCTTAGTGAGGGGGCAGTCGAGGGTGAACATGTCCCGGCCGGGGTCGAAGACGACATTTTGCGCGATGCAGAACGTGTCGACGTGCTGGTCGTTGTGGAATTCGGGCGGCGTGTGGAAGCAGTGCAGCCGCGAGGCCGCGCTGCCGATACAGTACTGCACGTGGCCTGCGCGGACCACGTCGAACCACTTGGTGGTGAAGCGCGCCGCGCAGAACTCTGATGTTGGGTCGTGGACGGCGTACTCGTCCGGCAGAGGAAGGTTCATGCTGAGAGTGTCCGGCCGTGAAGATGGAGGGAGTAACTCAGGCGGCGGTACACTCGCTGGCGGCAGGCCTGGGACATCCTTGGAAGTCCCATGGGAAGCGATATTATCCTGGGGAATATCACCTTGAACCGGTGCAGCTGGACTACCATCGTGCACGGGAAGCGCATTCTGAGCCGGCTGCTTGCCGATCGTGGTCGTCTTCGAGGAGATGTGCAAGTAACGGTAGATCGTGAAGAACACGAGCAGGGCTAAGCCCGCCCTGAGCAAGTGCAGCGATCGGGCCGGGTACGGAAGTAACATGTTATCGCGGATGTAATGAAGACACCTGGTCAAGGAAAGCTAGATCTGTGCGGGACGATGCGCGGGCGGGTTGCGACTCGTCACACGGCCATACATAGTGTAAGCATCCAGGCGGGATGGGAGAGAGATGGTGGAGGGAGGGGAAATGGGTATCCAGAGGTAGGAGGCACTCTAAATGCGTAGCAAAGGTCTTACATAGCGCAGATTGTTGCAGGGATTGATAATGAAGGATGGATGGATTGGTGCAAATGGGACCCGCCATGTACCTGCGGCATGGCGCCTGCTCCTCGTTTCTTTCATTCACTACGTGGATCGGCACTGCCCTTGAAATTAAATGTGCCCATATATTTGCAAGCCGCTCCCTTCGGGTAGCCTTGTGGATGAAACTCAAGACATTACGATGCCAGACACTTCGATGCCGCATGGTATTATCAATTACTTACCACGAGCGCATCCACCTCTTTAACGGATTGAGTTACTCGCCACTGAAGACGACCTAGCTGCCCCAAAGTCTGTGGGAGGAACCAGCCATGCCGGCGCTACAGATGCCGCCCCCCGGAGATCCTCGACTTGATCTTGCAATGTCTGAGTGGGAAGGATCTCAAATCTGCTCGAGAGAGTGGCCTCCGCGTCGATGAAACCGCACGCAGGCTACTCTATCGGCATGTGCGATTCGTACTACTCGATCACGATCCATCCACGTTCCTCTCGCTCGCCTCGGATGACTCTCTCCGCAAGCTCGTCCGAGAGTTACACTGGATCATGTATCCAAGCACGGCGGAGCGACTAAGGGAGTGGCTAACGTACAGCCGGCGACTACCAAACTCTGCGAACGTCGTCCGTATCCGCGAGGATGATGGGTCATCAAGACACTAGCCGGGCAAATGCTGAACTCCTACTGGATCGAATCCCACAGCTGGCTTCAACGATGAGCCACCTCTCCAGACAGCTTTCGTGTATTTCCAACTAATACTGAATGCCGCGGTCCAGAATCTACCGTGTCTCCAAAGCGTCCATATACACACCTCCTACGAGTGGCGACCAATTGGCAAGCCGATACTTGACAACCAACTTCAGCATAATGTTATTGGTAATAACCATTGGGATCTCACATATCACGAAGAGCTGGACATTACGCGCCGCGGTCTCAGATCGACAATCGACCTTGTGACGAGTAAAGCAGGGCACGCTTACCATGGAAAGCTCGCGGACCACAGATGTGTTAATGAGGATGGCATTCCACTCCGGGCCTCCAGCATTCACGATGCAGTGCCTAGTCGTTTTGTTTGGCAACATCAAAAGTGTCCACATGAGGGTCCAGTTCACCACAATAGACCAGAGCGTTCTGAATCCACGTACAGTCCTGTCATTTTGCCCTGACCCTGAGCGACTGTTACTGAAAGGTGTAGAGGGCAAGTACCATTTGCGCCCAACGGATACACGCGTTCGGCACGAGCTAGGAACTATTGTCGCCAATGAATTCCGCAGGTCCCAAATTCAAGCGCCAAGGGTCAGAGATTTGTGACTGCGGGAGTTTGACTTCACCCCTGAAGAGCTTCGGGACATGGTCGGGCATCATGCCTCAACCATCAAAGATCTGGACCTCTGGTGCTGCGGGGTCACTGTTGGACACATTACTGCGCTTGCCAGCGTGGATGGGCTCAGTCTAAGGTCGATACCAGTATGGCAGAGGGACGGCGAGATAACTCTTTGGTGTGATTTTGTGAGAGACTAATCTACCCATCTCCCAGCCCATGTCCACTTTGAATGGCTCTACAAAAACGAGAGAGGCTCGCGGGCCAACCTCTCCCCGCGCATTCACATAGAGGGGAAGGCACTGCACTCACACTGGTCTACCATGTGCATGGAATTATCCTCGGAACGATATGAGCGACCTCTCCAATAAGTACAGCCGCTGACTCCGACAACGACTAGGATGAAACAGGACGACGATCCGATGTGACAGGAACTATTACAACGAAGACTAAATTAGTGCGCAGGATCCAGAGGCGTCAATATCTGTCTTGTCTGGTGGACCGAGCGTGCGCTATCAAAGCAGCCGAGTCTGCGTGGCCACCGCCTAACGTCTTCCGATACTGAGATGGGCGGAAGGCGCGCGCATAGTATGTGTCCGTAGGTACTGCCCGCGATTCTTTATGGTTACATTGAGCTGATTGATACTTATGACACGGCGGCTGCGGATAGTGGAGTTTATTATTGGTGGTAGTTCTCTCAATCTGAGCTCTCGTCAATGATTTCTTACGTACAAAGTGTGCTCAAGTCCAAATCACAGCCTTCAAGACACAAGCCTACCAGAACTACAACGTTCCTGATATCGTGCTATCCAAGGCATAGACATCACATATTAGTGTCAGGGCGAATTTAGGGACGGAATTGCCCACCCAAACATCATTAGATTGCTGCGAGTGGCGCACCTATCATGAGACCACAAGAAGTAAGCTCATTTACGTCAATCGTTGCAACGTGTGTCATGGTACTGCATGGATCAGGTGTATATTGTGTTAAAACCGACCCGAGTCTATTATTGGCCATAGTCGCCTCTGACATTGATGTGTGCTCTGCCCGCCACAAGAGCCCTACTACCCCGCACGCCGAAATCGTCTGATAGGCTTGGTGTGTGATTTATCCCAATAAAGCTTCCTCCGCAGCAAGGCTCATATCGTTTCTGCAATTCCGAACACGTTATAGAAGCGCCTGCGCGTAATTGTTAGTGAAAGCACCTGAGAGAGTTGAGGCTAAGGGGTAGTCTTACCATGATACTGCTCTTATGCCGATCCATATTTGAAGCGTATTCGAGACCTTGAGTATACAGGCGTCTGAGCTGGCTATCGCAGGAACAGTAACGGTGGCCATATCTAGACTGGATACGGATCGGCATTGGAAGATGTGTTATTTTCCCCGTCTTCATCAATACCGCTAGAGGGTTCAATTTCCTCATAGAGAAGCAAAGCCATCTTGACCGTGAAATACCCCAATAACACAGCAAAAACGCTAAAAAATAGCGCTTCACTCCCGGACTGTTTGTAAGAGTCTATTGCAGCCCCGGTGGTAAGCGTGGAGCCGGCCGCAAAGATATACAACAAGTTGAAGGGTTGGAGATATCTTAGAATGCGGCGGCTCCCTCCCGTGGTAGTCGTGATCGCTTTTATCTCCTCGCAAATTGTCTGGGGCAGAACGTGCGGCGAGTTTACCAGAGACACTATTGCTAGTCCTACTAGTTTGCGCCGATAGATGAGTCTATGGCTTGGCGAAATCGAATTGCAAGTTATCTCTGGAGAATTGGCCAGGGGGAAGTGGGCAAGATTTGGAAAGTAATGTAGAATGTGGGGAGGAAAATGAGAAAAAGGGCCAGGTAACGCCGCGCAGTGGAAATTCCAGGCCACATTGATGTCGTGGGAAATGAGTTCTAGGCTTTGTGAATATATGGCAGGGCGTTTATCGAAGTCGGGATAGGGCCAAGCAGCTTTTGGTTGTCGAGAGCAATGTTAGAGAGAACGACCACCCCCAGCTACTAACATCCTTTATATATATTGGTGCACTGTATCCCTGTCAAGGGTTGCCCGTTAGTTGCACCAAGAATGCCCCATGTGTGAGGCCTCAGAGTGGCAATGCAGAGATTGCCTGCAGCCCGGCGTTATTAGTCTTTTCTTCTCAAGGCGAAGCTGCAGGGTTAAGCCAAGCCACAGGGCTGTGTCCTCGCCGGTTTAGTGCGACAAAAGGTCCTGGCACATTAGGTAGACTAGGTCCCATGGTGAAAGGGGGAGGCGGAGTACGGAACAGGGGCCTGACGATAGCTGAGGGACTCGACATTCTGATAACAGTGGTTTTTTCGGGGCAATTCCTTACGACAGATAGGAACTAATGATGCTACAGAACTGCGGTCTGTTCTTTCCAGCTGATCAGGGACATGAGGGTCATGTAATATCCTGTCCTTTCCGCGCATCAGGGAAAAATGAGATTGCGAAAAGAGGGACTTCCGACTTCCACGAGTGTTCTTGGAGATTCCTACTTTGTGCCAGGAGTCTGTGGTAGCATGCGCTAAAACGTCACATAGCTCTGCACATGAGCCTGGCCAAGCCGCCAGTAATGGTGCAATTTTATACAAATCTACTAGAGTGAGCTGCGCCGCTCTTTTGTGAGATACTCGAGGCTTGGACATGCTCTCGTCTGTGATAATACCAATGCCCCACTTTGCCTGTCTGCCACGTGCTTACATAATTCTGCTACATCACACCCAAATGTGGCTCGACTGAGTCACCTTCACATTTCGAGAAGACGCCATCACCGGGCTGCCACCTTTCTAGCGTCATATCATCATGCAGCAACAGGGGGATCATGGCGCCACACCGACGACGGGCGCCCTTGCACACTCGGGTGGCTGACCCTGGGCGGGCCGCAGCACACACGCCAAGCGACGAGCACACACGTCCTGCCCTCATCAGGATGCGCAGCGGGCTGCGTCGCCAGAAGTGGGGCAATCGAACCCTGTGGCAGGCGATCACGACGAGGCGGCCATCTCGCTGCACAAAGCCCTCCCCCCAGCTTTTGCCTCTCATCACCTCCTACCTAGACTTGGCCACCCTCAAATCGCTGAGGCTTGCAAGCAAGATACACGGCTAGCTGATCTTCTGCTTGCTTTACGACGAGATACTGCTCCCAGCTCGCGCACGATTGGCACACATTCCGATAGATCGCAGGCTGGCAACACCTTACCAAACACGTCATGATCTTACTCTGAGTCCTCTACCCTGACGATTTTCAGTCTCTCGTTAACTAGATATGGCATCGGGTTGAGCGGGTGCATTCATCAGCGACTGTTGAGATGGTGGCACGACGTATGATGGACCTGCAGTGGCCTGGATTCTTCCTTCAGGAGCATGGCGAGGAAGACAGAGAGGGGCATACACACCTCCGAGCAGCGGTCGCCAGGGTCAGTCACATCTTGGAAGACGGGGTCATAGCTATGTCTCGGCGCCAGC